CTTAAGGCTTAGAACTTAAGTCTGCTTAAATTCCAGCTGGCAAGTGTGAGGTCATAAATTCCATCCCCAGTACCAAAAAAAAAAAAAAAAAAAGGAAAGAGCCTTAAACATTTTACCATTAACTATTTTCACTTGGTTCAAAATATTTTTAAATTTCTCTTGAGATTCTTTGACCCATATGTTATTTAGAAATGGGTTGTTTCATTTCCAAATATTTTGGGATTTCCAACTATCTGTTAATTGATTTCTTGCTTAATTGCACTGTGCTTTGAGAGTATACTTGGTGTAACTTCTGTTTTTTAAAGCTTGCTCAGGTGTGTTTTGTGGCCCAGAATGTGGTCAGTCTCGGTACCTGGTTCATGTGAGTTTGAGAATAACATATAATATTCTGATGTTGTTGGATGAAATATTCTAAAAATGTTATATAGATCCAGTTGATTGAAGGCCAGCCATACCTTTACTAGTTTTACGCGTGAGGATTATTTGAGTCCAGCTATAATAGTAGATGTATCAGTTTATCCTGGCAGTTTTTTTACTGTTTTTGGTTTTTTTGAGGAAGAGTCTTATTGTGTAGATCACAAGCCCTGTTCTTGCCGCTTCCTGAAGCAGTTCTGGAAGTCATCTTCCATGAGTGTCTTTTAAGAGGTGTGATCATCCTGCCTCAGCCTCCCAACTGCCAGGATTACAGCTGTATACCACCACACCTCGAATTTCTTTCAGTTTTTCCTTCACATATTTTAACTTGTTAAGTAAGGGGTGATTGAAAAATAAGGTGAACGTTTACATGATTTCAATTTATTATCATAAAGGACACATTGCCATTGATCACCCTCAGAATACTCTCCCTTGCTCAAACACACTTATCACTCTTGCCACTTTCTGGAGCAGCTCACAAAGTTCCTAAGTTGAACAGACCGGGCACCAACCTGTTAACTTGTCTCCCAGGCTGAGCGTTGTTGTGGTGTCTCTTCTCTTAGTTTGTCAGTTACACTCCTTTTAAAGCCATCTTTAGTGGTTGCCCTACGGTTCGCAGTATTCATTTTCAGTGACCATAAGTCTACTTAAGATAATGCTACATTGCTTTGTGATGGTGTTAAGTACTCTGTTACCTGTTCTCTCCCTCCCATTACTTTTAAGATTGCTGTCACTCAGTTCACTTCTCCAAATGCTATATTCGCCTATTACATTGTTACTATTTATTAGCTGAGTGATTTAGATTCATTAAGAATAAAAACTTAGTTATTTTCACATTCTGTTCATTTGTTCTATCTTCAATACTCCTTGTGTATATCATTTGCCTTTTTTCTAAAGAACTAATGTTAACATATCTTATAGGACATGTCTTCTGTTAAAAATTCTCTGTTTTCTTTTGCTTAAGTAAGTCTTTAATTTTCATTTACTTTTGAAGGATAGTTTTTACTGGATTTCATGTTGTAGGTTGGTATATTTTTTTTCTTTAAATTAAAAAAATATTTTACTCTACTTTGTAATTTTTACCCCATTCCTATATAAGTAAGAGGTTTTATTTTCCTCTGGCGTGTGTGTGTGTGTGTGTGTGTGTGTGTGTGTGTGTGTGTGTGTGATCAAACTCGTGACCTTGTTTTTACCAGGCAAGCACTTTGAATGCTGAGCTAAATCTCTGGCCCTCTGGCTGTTTTTAAAGATTTTATTTCTTTGACTTGTTGTTTGTTCATGTCATTGTTTGGTACTTTGAACATGATATGGTCACCCGTAGTGGGCTTTGTTGTTTGTCTGGGGTTTTTTTGAGGCAGTGTCTTGTTACTGAGTGCAGGCTGGCCTTAAACTCGCTGTGTAGCCCTGGCTGATGTGAACTCTCATTGATCCTCCTGCCTCAGCTCCCCAAGTGCTGGGATGATAGGTGGGCAACTCCACAGCTGGCCTACACAACATAAAGTTTTTAAAAAATATTATTTTTCTTGGTGTTCTGAATTTCATGGATCTGTATCATTAATTTTGGAAAATTCTCAAATATTGTTTCAAATACTTTTCATTTCTTTTTTCTTTTCTAAGTATTCCATTTATGGTTCAAACCTTTTGTAATTATCCTGTAGTTCTTATTATCTTCTTTTTCATTTCTTTTTTAAACCTTGTATTTCAGTTTAAGAAGTTTCTGTTGCCATCTCTTCAAATTCACTTGGCCATCTCCAGTGTGCTGATGAGCCATCAAGGAATTCTTCATTTCTGTTATAGTATTTTGGTTACATTTGGTGGAGTTAGATTTCTTTTCTTTTTATTTTTGGACCTTATCAGATGGATAGTTTTCATCATTCAGTGAGTATCTTACTGCTTTCTTGTACTGTCCATTGAACCACAAAAGGTTTTACTTTCTTTTTTTTTTTTTTTTTGTCTTTTTCGTTTTTACCGGTACCAGGGATCGAACTCACGACTGCCTGCTTGCAAGGCAGACTCTTATGCCCCTGAGCTAAATCCCCAGCCCCCTAAAAGGTTTTACTTTCAATGAAGTAAAGTTTACTTTTTCCTTTGGTTACTTTAGTCATAACTAAGAATTGATTGCCTAATTTAAGGCAATGAGATTTACACCTATATTTTCTTCTGTTTGATAGTTTTAGCTCTTACATTTAGCCTTTTGATCAGTTTGAGTTAATTTTTTGTATATGATATAAGGAAAATGTTTCTTATTTTGTTTATAGATGTCCTGTTGCCCTAACCTTGCAGCATTTGTTGGAAAGACTTTGCTCATTGAACAATCTTTACTGTCTTGTCAAAAATCAACTGACCATAAATATAAGGGTGCATTTTGAAATCTTCATGTTCTTCTGTTAGTGGCCATATAGTCTTGATTATTTTAGCCTTATAGTAAATTTAGAAATCAGGAACCATGATTCTTTCAGCTTTGAGTTAGTTTTGCCTATCCTGGATCTCTTGCTTTTTTGTATGAATCTGAGGATTAGCTTGTCAGCTTCTGTGAAGAGGTCAGCTGGAATTATAATAGGAATTGAATCACTGCAGTGGGTATCGCTCTAATAGTAATAATAAGAATCAGTGTGGCTGGCTGTGGTGATACTTATCTGTAATCCCAGTTACTTAGGAGGCTGAGGCAGGAAATCATGAGTTCAGGTTTAACCTGGGCAACACAGTGAGACCCTATCTCAAAAAATATTTGACAAAAGAGGTATTGCCACTTTAGTGATGAACATGGGATAGCTTTCCACTACCTAGACTTTCGTTAACAATATTTTGTTTCCTTATATAAATCTTGTATTCTTTTTGCTTCACTAGTTGGTAAATATTCTTTTCAATGATATTACAAAGGAATTGATATGCTAGATTATGTTACCTACAAATAAAGAGTTTTGTTTCTTCCTTTCCACCCTGGATGCTTTTTGTTTCTTTTCTAATTGTTTAAATTCAAATTTCTATTCAAATAAAAGTGAAAGTGGACATTTTGGTTTTTTCCTGATATTAATGGGAAAACATGTAGTCTATATTAGGTATTATACTAGTTGTAGGTTTTTTTGCAATTGCCCTTTAATAGGTAGAAAAAGTTCCCTTATATTCCTAGTTTGTCCAGTGTTTTAACTGCAAAGATGTATTTGATTTTTGTCCTTTTTTAAATCTATCGATATATCATAAAGGTTTTGTTCTACAAACTGTTGCTATGTGATATTACATATATATTTGTATGTAAGCATGATTATATGTATGTTTTACCAAGGATTGAACCCAGACCTCATGCTTGTTAAGCAAATACTTTACCACTGAAATATATCCCCAACCCTGATATTCATGTGTGAATTGTCCTTGCCTTCCTGATACAAATCTTGCATGTTCATGACGTATAACCTTTTTTCTGTGGTGCTAGATTTGGTTTAGTAATATTTTACTGAGCATTTTTTAATCTATCTTGGTAAGAGAGCTGTCATTTTCCTGTGAAATCTTTGGATTTGTTACAGAGATAATACTGATCTCACAGAATGAGTTAGGAATGTTCTCTCCTATTTTATGGAAAAGTCCAAAGTATTGGTGTTAATTGTTCTTTAAATGTTTGGAAGAATATGCCAGTAAAGTTATCTGTCTGTACCCAGGCTTTTCTTTGTGGGGTTTTGTTTATTTTAAGCACCCATTCAATCTGTTTTTTTAAAAAAACATGTCTATTCAGATATCTTGTTTACTCTTGAGTTGTTTTCACAGGTTGTACTTTCTAATAATTCATCCATTTTATTTAGATTTTCTAATCTGTTAACAGGTGATTGTAGTATTCCATTATACTTTTTTTGTAAGGTTGATAGTAATATTCTGTCTTTCATTTCTGAATTTAATACTTTGTTCTAGAAGTTGGTCAGTGTTTGAACCACAAAAGCATTAGTGTAACTAATGCTTTGTCTGTTTTGTTGATCTTTTCATAACACCTTAAAACATTTGGTTTGTTTGATTTTTCTGTTTATTTTTGCTACAATTTTATAAAATTTTTCATTCTTGTTGATTGTATTTAGTGTCGCCCTTTTTTTTCCTATCTTTTTAGGTTGGATGTTTATTGATTTTTGATCTCTCTTCTATTTTTAATAGCTACAACTATAAATTTTTCCGAATGCACTGTTTTTGTAGTTCCTATAACCACATTTGCTTTTTTTCTTTTTCTTTCAAAGAAATATATATTTCCATTGTTTTTAATCTTGCACTGATTTGAGCTTGCTTGAAAAATTTTGAATTGCTATTCTTCAGTCATTTTTGATGTAGTTAGTAATTTCCTACATTTTACTCTAATATGATCATTCCTTTGAATATCTCATTGTTTCATGTCACCCCCGTATTAACTTTATTTTTATAATCTAAGTAAATGAATTTAAGAAGAACAATGTGATTTGGTCATTATTGTAGGAGTGATATGTCAGGATAGAGCCAAAATATTATTATTATTATTAGTTTTTAGTTTTTTGAGATAGGGTCTCACTATTTAGTACAACTCACTATGTTGTCCAGGCTGACCTCAAACTCATAGCAATCCTCCTGCCTCACAGCCTTTCCCATGCACTGAGATCACCACCATACCTGGCAAAAACCATTATTGAAGATCAGTGGTCCTGTATCATCTTTTACAAGAAGCTTTTGATCTGACTGAGGGACAGGTGCGTTGAAATAATTTACATCTTGTCCCTGATAATGAGTGTTACTTCCTCATTAGGAAGTAATAGTGAAAATTGTCATAATTGATTACTGTTCCTGCCAGTATATTGCTGTTGCTCATCTCTCCAACATTTACGGAGTCTCTGGTGTGTGCCACGCACTGTGGGGTAGAACAAGATAGAGGATGGGGAAGGGGGACACAGTTTAGTGCCTACTTTTAAGTAGTGTGGTCTAACAGAGGAGGGGCTCAAATGGGCCACTGATTATGTTACAACAGGATAAATTATGCAATACATAAAGTCCCAGAGGAAGGGTCAGCAATCTCTTAGAAAGGCTAGTAGGGAAGGCCACTCAAAGAAGATTTCCAGCTGTCTGATTTGCATTGTAAAGGAAAAAGGACATTTTAGGTAGAAGAGACAGGCCGCAAGCATAGCATTTGAGGCCGGGAAGGACGTGCACTGAGAGGCACAGAGAGGACCCGCTGTGTGTAGGTGGAGCGTGGACGGCCCAGTGGGCAGAGATGAGACCCGGAGTAGGGCTTAGACTAGGAAGGGTGTTATGTTAGTAGGAAGAAGTGTGGGCTGTTTCTTCATAAGCTGTTTGGAAGTAACTGAAGATTCCTATATTTTGTTTTCGTTTTTGTGTTTTTTTTTTTTTTCAGTCAGGGTCTCACTGTGCAGCGCAGACTAGCCTTGATCCTACTGTGTGGCCCAGGCTGCTCTCAAACTCACAATAGTTCTCCTGCCTCAGCTTTCTGAGACCTGGGATTGCAGCCTGTCCCACCATGCTCAGCTATTTGAAGATTTCTAAAAAGAGAATTTTGAGTTATTTTCCTGGTTGTGTTTGGGAGTCAGCTACTTCCCCCTACCCATACCTGCTAGTAGATCTTTCTTCACCAGTAAAGTATTCTTTTCTTTTTTATTCATAGTTTCCTGAAGCTTTTTTGACAGAACGGGACAAACAGTCCAAATGGAGTGGAATTCCTCAGTTGCTCCTTAAACTGTACACCACCAGCCACCTCCACAGTGACTTCATTGAGTGCCAAAACATCCTCAAGGTAATTCTTAGAGGCCTTAGTGGAGCTGCCCTGAGAGTCTCCAGGTGACATCACTATCGGCTTTTTTTAATAGCCTGTTTTAATTGTGCGAGCCGTTGAGAAGTTCAGAAAAGGTGCAAGAAGAAAATCAAGTCACCAGTAGCCCCACCATCAAGAGGTGGTCACCATAGGTTTCCTACGTGTATCCTTCCAGGCTTTATTCACGGTTACGTCATGTGGTCCACACTACTCTGGCATTTGGATGACACTTTTTCCCTCCTGGTTTTGGGAATCAAACCCAAGCCCCCAGGCCTGCTATACAGGAGCTTTTTTGAGTCAGGGTCTCACTTTGTGGTCCAAGCTAGATTACAGGCATGTGCCATGTAACCATGCCTGACAGTTTTGAACTCATGTTGCTGCAGGCTTCTGGGAGGGGCCCTGTGACTGCTGATTTGAAGGGGCAGGTGTGATGGTTGGCAGAGGAGTGAAAAGACTGCAAGGATGTAATGCTGAGGTGGTTCTGCAGCCTGAGTGTGTAGCAGAGTGCTGGGCTTGACCCCAAGAAGTTTTGATTCAGTAGCTCTGGGGTCACTTTATTCAAACTTCAGCTTGGGCCAAGTTGAACTCCCAGCTCTGATTGTAGTTATAACCTGGGCAAGTATGTTTGGTCATAACAAAACCAAATAATATAATATTCTTCAAAGGTGAAATTTTATAATTGCATCACAAAAGCCATTTTGTGTAACAGTGATTAAGCTTATATTTTAAGAGAAGGCCTTTTCATGTTCTTGATCTTGTCAGTCTAATTGATAGAAATAATTATAGCCTCTTACATTTATTTAAAAATATTTTCCAGAGAAATTTATATTATTTTATTTGATTACTGCAAAATTTCTGAGATATGTTGTTGAAGTAAAATCGAGGCAGAGAGAAATTAGTATCTGTCGGTCCTTGATGTGTGATCATTTTTTTATTTATCCAGCAAATAACCAAATGTTTATTTAAGATTTACTGTGTAGTTTGTTTTCTTTTTACTTTTTTTTTCCAGTACCGGGGATCGAACTCACGACCGCCTGCTTGCCAGGCAGGTGCTTATGCCGCTGAGCTAAATCCCCAGCCCCATATTGTTTTCTTATTAGCTTGTTCCACATAAACAAAAGATTCTGTCCCCCTCCAAAATTTGAGAATTGCCTTCCAGAACTGGCAGGAGATACTGGGGCTAACCCAAGCCTCTGCTTGGGGCCCAATGAGCGGATACAAAATAGTCACAACTCAGTGACAACCAGAAAGTACAGCCTAATTTAGGAACTAACTGGCACAGAGGCTAGAGACTAGCCTGTACCGCCCCTGCATCCCAGTCTACCCCAGATAACAGTAAATTGGGGAGGACAGCAAAAACTCAAGCCAGCATGCTTCTGAAAGGCCCTAAGCAATTCGGAGAGGGCCAGAGAACTCCAGGACAGTCTGAAAGAAACCAGAAACATGACAAGAGATAAAAAAAAAAAAAAAATCTCCAGCTGCCCAACAGGAGAAAATAAGCCCAGGAGAACTAAACACTGAAGAGAACAAGTACAGTAACCATCCACTACTCGACACAGCATCAGCCGAAATTAAAAAGTACCTACATGATCTCATAGAGGAATTTAAAGCTGTACTCCTGATCCAAGTGAGGCACGATATAAAGAGATTAATTAAAGAAATGACAAGCCCCGCCCAAGAGAACACAGATGGAAGAACTGAGGAAATCAGAAAAGAAAGAGAAGCATCTGAAGAAGAATTTAAGCGTAACCTAGAATACATGAAACAGATCCAAAGAGAATATCAGGAAACTAAAAACTCCATTGAACATTGGCAAAATGCCTTGACAGAAACTAAAGACAGCCTTCTGAAACTTGAAGAGAGATTTAGGACATATGAACGTGAAAGAAAAAGCCTCTTAAAAATAACAAGGAACCAGAAAGAAGCAATTCTAAAACTGGAAGATGACAAAAAGATACATAACCTAAGAATAAAGAATGTGAGTGAGGAAGCAGGAACATCCAAAAATGAAATACAAAAAATATTCACAGAGATATTAAAGCAAAATTTCCCATATATAGCAAAAAGAAATGATATCCAGATAAAAGAAGCATACAGAACACCAGCTACCTACAACCAAAACAGATCTACGCCTAGACATATAATAATCGAGATCCCAGAAATCCACCAAAAAAACAGAATATTAAAAGCAGCCAGAGAAAAGATGCAGGTTACCTATAACGGGAAATCTATCAAAATAACAGCAGACTTATCAACACAAACTCTTAAGTCAAGAAGGGAGTGGGGAGAAATATTCCAAGTCCTGAAAGAAAAAAATATGCAACCAAAGTTCATATATCCATCAAAACTCTCTCTAAAAATTAATGAAGAAATAAGATACTTTCAAGACAAGGAGGAACTGTGGGAGTTCGTGGCCACCAATCCAACCCTACAGAGAGCGCTGAAGGACATTATAGAGAAAGAGAGGAAGAGATACCAGGATTCCAGCAACAGTGGCAGAGAGGCCTCAGTGAACGGGGCAGACAATGGAATGAGGGAATAAGGTGGACAAATTATAGCAGAAAAGTGGAGTAGCAGACATGAGGCAGGGACGGTAAGCTAGTCTTTAGTATAGACAGCTCTGAAACTATATTTAAAAAAAAAAAGCAGAGGTCATTGCTAATGGTGTATAATGATTTAAAAGACACAGTAGCCCTAGTGCCATATTTAGATTGAATTTAATTTGTTCTGGTCTGTCCGCTCATGTCAGATTTGAGGACACAGACACCTTGACCCAAAAATAGCAGGCTATACCATGGTAACTATCCTTACTTTCCTATTAACTTAAACTGAAATCCTATAATACTTACATTGTCTTACTATGACTGATCTTAATTGAATCTGAATCGTAAGACTATGGGTTGGCCATGGCTGATTTTATTTGAAATTGGTATGCTTGTCAGTATCAACCCTAAAAGTAGAGGCAACTACTCTGAGGATGACAAGTTGTAAAGAATATCCATACTGGTATTAATTAGTAACAGCTTCCAAACCCTACAATGCTGCCAAAGTTAAGTTTTTATAAAAATAGGTGATACTATATTTAACTATAATAAGCCAGTGTGGTGGTCAAATCTATTGAAAATAACAAGAGGAAACATAGTAACTATGGAAGATCATCTATATTGTGGTCTTAAATGTTTTATCCATTGCATGTTTTTCTAGGAAATTGTTTTGCTGTCTTGCTATGACTTGGTATTCCCTATAACACAGAGAGGATAGATATATATGTAGAAATTCACACATGGGTTCTTTGTTTTCTTTTTAATTATTTATGGGAACAGATTATATAATGTAAGATGTAATGAACAGATACTCTGAGGAAGAGACACTAAGAAACCCGAGGCTAATTTAGTAGCATTATGATAGAAATTCTAGCAATACTAATGTTTGCTGATTAGAATGACATTGGACTGGTTTCTTGAGTTCAATTTCAGCATATGTAGAGATGGGGACAGCTATCACAAAGAGTAGGAGAGATGAGTTGGTAGTTACTATTGTCTTCCCTAATTTGGTACTTGAGGACCTAAAAAGTCTTCAATGATTTGATTAGTTCTATAATATACACTAAGTATATAAGGTGGATGAAGATGGAGACAACTATTTGTAAAAAACTAGAGACAGTTAGATAGACAATCAAGATCTCCAGTGGGCTTCCTATGAAATCTGTATTTCTTTAAATTGTTTTTTTAACTGCTATGTTCTGTTTTGATATGTTTAATCTTACCCTCTTTGAGAAGTAAAACAAATGTGTAGGACTGATAACCATGTTACTGAGCTCTTGTTCGATCATAGAGCAGAAGGGTTTGTAGTGTCACTTTATGAATGTCATTCTAAATGCTTTAATTTCATAACATGAACAGCTACTTCTAAGATGACAATGTGTAACTTATCAACCAGCAATTTCTTACCGTTTGTTTTTCTGTAAGTTTGTATCATTTCTACCCTTTTTTAAAATCTCCATGTATTCTTTTGTTTCCTTTTCTTTAAATAAAAAAAAAAAAAAAAAAAAAAAAAAAAGAGAATTGCCTTCCTGTGTCTACAGTTTCAAATACTTGTTGTCTTGAGACCTACCTCAAGACATCTATTCTAGCCTTTTTATCAAGAGTATTTAATCTAGAGGGGGGAAGAAAGGTTTCAGATAGATACAAAATAGCAATGCTAAATGTGTGCTGAAAGTGTTAACCATCGCAAATGACTTACTGATTGCTTTGCTGGATAGAACATCAGATTGCATTTGAGCTGGGGAGATCAAGGAAGAGTTCCTCCAGAAGGTCAATTTGAGTAGAGATTTGGTTATTACTACAAAATTCAGTAGCTTAAAGGAGCAACCACCATTTATCTCACAATTCCTGGTTCATTGAGTGGTTCTGCTTCCTGCAGTTTTGAGCGAAGTATCGAGACCTCTAAGATGTTAAATGGCCTCATTCACATGACAGGTAGGTTGGTGCAGGCGGTCAGCTGGAGACTGGCCATGGCATCAGTCATGGTCCCAGTTCTCCTTCCTGTGGCTTCCACAGGGGCCGTGTTGGGCTTCTTAGAATGGAACTGTTGGATTCTAGCATGGCAGAGGCCGACTCTACCAGGCCTTAAGACTTGTGTGCTGGAAGTGGTGTAGTGTCTCTCTGCCACATTCTGAGGCAGGTGGTACCAGATTCAGTGTAGAAAAGGACTCTAAAGGGGCCTGGGTGGTAGGATATGTGCTTCATTGGGCTGTTTTCTTCTCATACGGATTCAGTTGTGAGTAAAATACAAACTGATATTTTAGTGTCTGGTCTGTATTGAATTCTAAAACAAAATGTCTCTGTACATTTTTTTAAAGGAAATTTCTCCTCTTCTCTCCATGGAGGCTATGGCATTTGTTACTGAAGATAGGAAACTTACTCAAGAAACTACTTACCCAAATACATATATTTTTGATTTGTTTGGAGGCGTTGATGTAAGTAGCTATTTACTCTTGCTTCTATCATTATTAATACATTAATAGTTTGAATAGTTAAGTGTTAAAGTAAAAGAAAGAATTTTTAGAATTTATGGCAAACATTTCTGATTTTAAATTTTGGAAACTCAGTGGCATTCACCCGTTTAATAGCAACATAGTTTTTTCTTGTTTTTAATTTTTTTTTTTTTTTTTTTTTTTTTTGAGACAAGTTTTCATTATGCAGTTTAGGCTGGCCTTGAACTCACTTTGTAGCCCAGGCCTCTTAACTCACAGGGATCCTCCTGCCTTGGCCTCCTGAGTGCTGGGAGTACTGGTCTATGCTATCACATCCAACATATGTAACCACCTATTTTTAAAAATACCAAGTAAAATGTGTGTTTCCCAGTTTTCCATTGTCTCCTTCTCAGGAGCAGTTGTGATTACTAGTTTCTTGTACATCTTTCTAGAGATGTTCTGTTGCTCTGTGTGTGCGTTTTTGCATGTGTAAATGCCCCCAATTCCACCTCACCTCCGTTTATTTTCTCCCTACACACAGTGGCATACCAATAACCAGTGTGCTCTCTGCTACTTTATTCTTTTCATGTAACCCTAGCATGAGGATAATTTCATTTCAGTGGATGTAGATCTGCTTGTTGCTTAAATATGATGTGTCTGCCCGTCATTTGTGTAGTCCCTAGTTGATGGACATTCAGCGTTTTCCCACACCTTTTCTATTATAAACAAGGCTACAGTAAAGATTTTTGAATGTATTTTTTTGTGTGAATGTAGACCTTTAGAATCAAAGCATATGGCTTTTATTGATTACTGTATTAACTGCAATTTATCAACTTAACTTTGTTGATAATGAAGTACAAGTGTGTTTATAACCTGCACCATCACCAACATAGCATATATGTGTATACAAAGGAATACACCAGTGATTACCACAAAAAAATTCACTTTTGACCTACTGCCCAAATCAGAAAATAGGACATTACCAGAATTTAGACACCTCCTTCACCAAACTGTGTATTTTAAATATTTACTAAGTAGATGTGAGAAAAATCTTATTTTTTCATAGTTTTATTTTACCAATTTATTGAGACATGGTGCACATGCCATACATTCCACCCATTTAAAGTGTGGTTCATGTGCTCACTTTGGCATTACATATACTAAAATTAGAACAGTACAGAGATTAGCATGGCCCTGTGCAAGGATGGCATGTAAAACATACAGTTCATTATTTGTTTTTCAGTGTATAACCAACAACACAGTCAAGTTTAGAATATTTTTAACCCCTTGCAGGAGAAGATCTCCAAATGCATTAGCCTTGTTCCCCATCTCTCCCAGCCCTGCACTAGAAAATAACTCATCAACTTTCTGACCCTATAGATGACCCATTCTGAACAATTCATATAATTGGAATCACATAATCTGTGGTCTTTTGTAACTCGCTTCTTTCACATAGCATAATGCTTTCAGTGTTTATCCAAGTTGAAGTGTGTATCAATACTACATTGTGTATGTGTTTTGGATTTGGTTTTTTTGTTTTTTGTTTTTTGGTGGGTACCAGAAATTAAACTCAGGGCTTTGCGCTTGCCAGGCAGGCACTGTGCCATTGAGCTATATCCCCACCCCACATTTTGTATGTTCAGTAGTGATAGACAGTTGGGCTGCACCAGTTCACATGCCACCAGCAATGTAGGAAGAAACCAGAGTTTCTCTGACCTTATCAGTGCTTATTGTTATCTGTCATTTTCTTTTTTTTTTTTTTCTCATATGGAATAGCATCTGTGTTATCTGTCATTTTCATTATAACCATTTCATCGAGGGAGAAATCAGAAGGAGACAAAACTTTGCGTATGAAGTTTACTTAGTATACATTGTTTGTGTAGATAGCAATTATTTGTAATGCCAAAAATATCCAGGAGAAGCAGTGGTTATTCTATCCTCTGATTGAATTTTATGAAGTCAAAAAATAATGTAAAATTTTAGTAGCATGTAAAAGTTCTTGATGAAAAAGCATGCAACAGGGGCTGGGGATTTAGCTCAGTGGCATAAGTGCCTGCCTGGCAAGTACAAGGTCATGAGTTTAATCCCTGGTACCTACCAAAACAAACAAACAAACAAACAAACGCATGCCACACTATTGTGTCTGCTCTATGATAGTTATCCCGGCTTTTTTAGAAGATGACTTGGGGGTATCTGCTACACAAGGCAAAAGAAGCCAATGACAAGGGCAACTTCTATTATTGTCCCATGTTATAAGACTTGTTTCTTTCCTCTCTTACAAGTGCAGTTGATGTCAGATGCAGATATATGGAAAGCTGAGCTAAACATTTTTCCAGAAATGATATTCTATGGCATAGGGGTACCTGAGGGTTTTTATTTTATAATCTGTTGTCTTGTGCTAAAATAATATACATTTCCCCCTTTTCTCTCAGTTCAGGATGCTGAAATATGGTGTCACATTCTCCTAGGAGAATGTAGATTCGTTTTCTAAAGATTTTGTTGCTAGTTTGAGATGGCAGAAGTTGTCTCAAATGTTCTAGCTCAGCAGTCTAGTCTCAAAAGATTTTCATGTTGGCTGTTTTTTTAAAAAATGATATAAGATTGTTTTCCCTCATTTGGCTTGGTGTATTAAATCTGCTGCCCAAATATCAGCCTGTACCTAAAAGGGGCTAGAAGAGGTTTTTTTAAAAAAGGATTTTTTTCTAAAATTGCATTTAAATTGATTTAAACAATAGTGTAAGACTATATACACATATATATGGTTGATGTTTAAACATGGTGACTTAACAGCCTGCAAGGTTCCTCTGTAATTCTAGCACTCATGCAGGAGGACTAAGCAGGAGGATCATGGTGAATTCAAAGCCAGTCTGGGCTCTGTAATGTGTTCAAGACCACCCTGAACTGCTAGACCCTATCTCAAAACAAACAAAAACAAACCAAAAAATCCCCCAAAATTAACCAAACCAAAACAGTATGTCTGTGTGTGTATATACATATACACATAGTAACTTAGTCATGATCTCAGCATATAGATTACTTGAAAATGTTTGAATATCTTTAAGTAGAAAGTGACCTTAAAAAAAAAAATCTATACAAGAGCCCTTGTTATAAAAGTAGAAGATGAAAAGAAAATTTGGGCCAGTCACAATGGTACATGCCTGTAATCCTAGCTACTCGGGAAGCTGAGACAGGAGGATCACCATGAGTTTGAGGCCAGAATGGACTACACAGTGAGTTCAAGGCCAGTTTAAATTACACAGCAAAACAAAAAAACCTAAAATATAAGTCATGTACCTTAAAATTAACCTTCTAGTCAAACCTTATTGGTTTCTGGTGTGTGCAGGAAGTTTTGCTGTGATCAACAGAACATTTTTGATACTGCCAAAGAAATCCCACACCATCAGCAGTCCATCCCCAGTTAATTAACCCCTTTCTGTTTCCTTTGATTTGCTTATTGTGGACATTTAGATAAATAGAACTGTATACTGTGTGGCCTTTCATGTCTGGGTTCTTTAACTTACATAATAGCTTCTTTGAAATATAATTCATATATAATTCATATATGATAGGATTCAGCCATTGAAAGTGTACCATTCAGTGTTTTTTCAGTTATGTAGCTATCACCACAGCTTTTAAAACATTTTCACTTCTAAAAAGAAGTGCTGGGGGTGTGGCTCAGTGCTAGAGCTCTCACCATGTATGCATAAGGCCCTGGGTTTGATCCCCCACACCCCCCCCAAAAAAAAAGAAAGAAAGAAAGAAAGAAAGCAAGAAAGAAAAAAGAGAAATCCTATGTTCTATAATAGTGACTCCCATAGTCTCATAAGCACCCTGTGTTTAGGCAACCACTGATCTACGTTTGCTACCTCTAGAAATTTTCCTTTTCTAAACATTTCGTATGAATGGAATGACTGGCTGCTTTCACTTAGCCTGATACTGAAGATTTATGTGTGTCCCTGCATATATGTTAGCCCTTCATTCCTTTTTATTGCCAAGAAATTTTTCATTGTGTGGATGGCATCACATTTTGTTTACCCATTAAGCAATAGCTGATGGATGTTTACGTTGTTTATACTTTTGACTTTCATTGGTGCATTTTATTTTTTAAGACAGAATCTCACTATGTACACTGGCTTTGAACTCACAATCTTGCCTTAGCCTCCTGACTGCTGGGATTATAGGTGTGTGTTGCTATGGCCAGGATTTTGGCTATAATTTATAGCGCTGCTTTGATTAATGGTACAGCTCTGAACATTGAAATAAGAATATTTTTGTAGACATTTTTTTTCATTTCCTGTTAGACTGGATGTTTTAAAAATTTCACCCAGAGAGAGAGAAAGAGAAAGAGAAGTTAGTTGCTGGGTCATATGGTATGTCTCTGTTTAACTTTTGATGAGCTGCCAAATTGTTTTCCAGTGTGACTTCATTGTTTTCCACATCCACCAGGAGTAGTTTCAGTGTCTTTCTTTTTTTTAATAAACTTTTTTTTTTTTTTGTATTTTTACCGGTACCAGGGATCGAACTCATGACCACAGGCTTGCAAGGCAGGGCATATGCAGCTGAGCTAAATCCCCAGCCCCTTCAGTGTCGTTCTTAAGGCGCAAAAAGTGATACGGTTCATTGTGGTTTTGATTTGCATTTCCCTGATGGCAGATGATATTGACCCTGTCTTTTGTTTTTGGTACCGGGATCAAACCTCACGCTTGCCATGCAGTTGCTTATGCTGCTGGGCTAAATTCCCAGCCCTTGCCCCTCTATATGTTTATGAATGGCTTTTGGAAATGTTTGTCCATCGCTTTTTAATTGGGTTGGGTTTTGATTGCATTATATTGACTGTTCCTTGATACTGTCTCCGATGAAGTATATAATTTGCAAGTGTTTTCTCCAGATAATTTGTTATTTTTTCTTTTACATTATTGGTAGTGTGCTGTGAAGCACAAAAGTTTTTAATTTTGGTGAACTTCATTTTATCTAAATTTTTTTCTCTTTTGTTCCTTGAATTTTGGTATATATCTAAGAAATCATTGCCTAATCTAAGGTCACAAAGATTTACCCATTTACTTTCTAAGAGTCTGATAATTTTATCACTTACATTTTAGGTTCTTGATTACCCTATCAGATGAGATAAGGGTCCATTTTCATTCTTGTCAGAAATCAGTTGGTTATAGACACATGGGTTTATTTCTATGCTTGCAGCTCAGGATTGTTTTGGCTATTACACATCCCCGATAGTTGCATGTGAATTTTAGGATTAACTTGTCAGTTTTTAGAAAGAAGCCAGCTGGGATTTTGATAATGATTGCATTGAAATTGCTGGGCATGATGCTGCAGACCTCTAATCCTAGCACTTCAGAAGCAGAGGCAGGAGGACCACTGTAAGTTTAAGGCTAACCTGTGCTACCTAGTGAGTTCAAGATCAGCTTTAACTACTTAACAAGACCCTTTCTCAAAAAAAAATTTTTTTTAAGTCAGTTTGAGGAAACTGTCTTTCCATTGTTTAGATTGTCTTTAGTTTTTTTTCCAAAAATATCTCTTTTCTTATATAGTTTTTCACTTGTTAAATTTATTCCTGAGTATCTTACTCTTTTTGAGTCTCTTATAAATGGAATTGTCTTACTTTGATTTTTGTATGATCATATCTGTGTTTAAAAAGACTTGTATTTGGTTAATTTATTATCTTGAAACCTTATTGATGTCTTATCTGATAAATTTTTTAGTGTAAAGTTTTTGGTTTTCTGTATTTTAGTTCTTTAGTTTCTTGTTTTTTAATTTGAATGCCTCTCTTTCCTTACTCCCTCCCACAAGCCCTCTCCATTAGAATCGACAGATGATGTCAAATAGAAGCAGTAAGAGTGGACATATTCGTGTTTTTCTGGTTCTTAGTGGCCAGGTATTCAGTCTTTCTCAATTATGATGTTAGCTCTTGAGAGTTTCATAAAAGCCCTTTATCAGGTTGTTCCATCTGTTTCTTGTTTTATCATGCAAGCGTTTTGGATACTTTTCAAATGCTTTTCATATTTACCCAGATGATTGTGTGGGTTTTGTCATTTATTATACTGACATGATGTATACATTAATTGATTTTCAAATGTTGAACCAACCTTGCATTTCTAGGATAAATTCCACTTGGTTTTGTTGTGGAGCCCTCTTTTTATATGCAGCTGAATTTGTTTTGCTGTGTTTTAAAGATTTTTTTCTGTGAATGTTCATAGGAGACGTTGGTCTGTGATTTTATTGTGATATTTTTGGTTTGGGTCTCAGAGTAATAGAATAAGTTGGAAATTGTGTTTCCTCTTCTTTTTTGGAAAGAGTAGGTATTTAAATGTTGTAAACGGTTCACTGATGAAGCTGTCTGAGCCTAAAATTGTCCTTATGGAGTTTGGTTTAATCACTAATTCATTCTCTTTATTATAGGACTAAAGAGATATGTGGTTTCTCCTTGAATTATGTGTATAGTTCTAGGAATTTGTCTGTTTCATCAGGGTTATCTTATATTAGTTGGCTCTTGTTTGTAGTATTCCTTTATAGCCCTCTTTTTTTCCATCTTGCTTTCTCTTTTATTAGTAATTTTAGTCTTTTCCTCCTTTTTTGGTCTGTTTAGCTGAAGAAATGCTAATGTTTTCAAGGTACCAACTTCTAGGTTTGTCGATTTTTCTCTGTTATTTTCCTTTCTTTATTCCATTAATTTCCACTCTAGTTGTTTTTTGTTGTTGTTGTTTTTTTTGATGGTGCTGGGAATCAAACCCATGGCCTTGTGCATTCAAGATGAAAGCTCTACCGCTGAGCCACATCCTCAGCCCCTTCATCCTAATTGTTATTTCCATCTGTCTGTTTCTGTGAGTTTAGTTTGCTTGTTTTTCTAGTGTCTTAAAATAGAAGATTGGGATTATTGATGTTAAGTAACTTTTTAAAAAAATTGGTGTTTATAACTATAAATTGCCATCTAAATTGTTTTAGCTAGACCAGAAGTTTTGATATAGTCACCCGTCTCATACTTCGAAATTGCTCTTGTGATTTCTTGTTTGTTTCAGATGAATTTTATACTTATCTACATGGGTTTCATTTTTCTGATATCTAATTTAATTTCACTGTGAAAAGAGAATATAATTTCTATGTTTTTAAATTTATTGAGGCTTATTATGTGATTTCAGTTATACTCTAACCTGAAGAATGATCTGTTTGCTTTTGAGTAGAATGTATTCAGTGTTCAACAGACAATGTTTTATGGGTATCTGTCAGTTCTGGTTGGTTTGTGGTTTCAACCTTTTATTTATTTGCTGATGTTCTGCCTGGTTCTCTATATATTATATTTCTGTTGTCTGCTTTAACCTCATGTATTTCAGGGCTCTGTTTTTAGGTGCATATATGTTTACGATTAGTATATATTTCTGATAGATTACCCATTTATCCATTATAAGTTGTCCTTCCTTTTCACAGAATTTTAAAGTACATGCTTATTCCAAACTTAGTTTAAGGAAAATTGTGTGTAGTATACAAAATGAAAAATATATGGATATTACCTTCTCAATCTTTGTAGAAATTAATGATAACAATGAATGATATATATGGAAACTTTTAAAAAATAAATTCATACACATAAGTGCTTTAATTTAAGCAAAGAGTCCCAGTAGTAGTAATGTTCTAGAGCTTTTCAAAAATTAAAGCCACATTGGACCTTAGAGATTGCCTAATTTAATATATTCATTTTTTAAAGTGAGAAGGGTAAGGCCCAAGTAGGGGCATTAACTTGCTTTAGTTTACTGGAGATTAAGTGGCTGGGACTAGAATCCAAGTTTCCTCTTGCTAGAGAACCTCACTGCCTCCTAGAACACGATGATCTTACAGTACTGTGACAGCTGCTTGGGCTATTAGTTGTCATGGCAAAGACTGTTATATAAGTTGTCCTTCGAATTAATGTTGAAGATTTTTATCTTTTTTTTTTTTTTTTTTTCCCAAATAGCTCCTTGTAGAAATTCTTATGAGGCCTACAATCTCTATCCGGGGACAGAAATTAAAAAGTAAGTATAATGTATCAGCCGGGTGTGGTGGCTCATGCCTGTAATCCCAGCTCTCGGGAGGCTGAGGTGGGAGTTCGAGACCAGCCTGTGCTACAAAGTGAGCTCAAGGCCAGCCTGAACTGCATAGGGAGACCCCGTCTCAAAAAAGAAAAAAAAACAGTATAATGTGTCAGATGCTGGCCCTCCTTTCCCAACGTGCCCTTGTGGTGACAGTGGTAGAAGTTACTCTTCCATGAAGCCTTCCTGGCTCTTCCTAGCGAGGACACGCCTCACACACTGCTACAGCTCACTCTCTCCTTCCCCAGCTAAGCAGCTCGCTTGTTCCTTTGATAATGGGCAGGAATACAGATCTGATGCTTCCAGAAAAAGAGCTTGAGAACCACTGGGCTCAAAGAATTTCATCTTTGTACTTTCTAGTAGCCTTTAGGTCCAGCTTTTAGGTTTTGTTTGGAATCCTTATTTCATATATGTAGCTAGCTGAGAGAATAAGAAATAACCTACTCTGGTCACTTTTTTTTTGCTTTATTTTTTTAAAAAACCTATTAGATTTGTTTTATAAAGGTAATGTATACTTTTTGTAAAAAACAGTTTAATCATGCTTGGCACAGTTGCTCATGTTTTTGCACACTTGTAATCCTAGGTACTTGGGAGGCTGAGACTGGAGGAGTACAAGTTTGAGACCAGCCTGGACAGCTTAGCAAGATTATGTCTTAAAAATAGAAAGGCTGAGAATATAGCTCAATGTAGAGTGCCCTAGGTTCAATCCCTGGTACCACAGACAAAAACAAAACCAGTATATATGGTAAAAATCAAAGTATTTTGTTACTGCATAATTTTTTAAGCCAAATGAATATATGGGTTATAACTCTCTTGTTTTCTGCAATTTACACATGCTACAGTTTTAAGGGGCAGAGACGTGGTCTTGCTATGTAATTTAGGCTGGCCTTGAACTCAGTATGTAAGCCAAGGTGGTCTCGAAATCATGGTGATCCTTCTGCCTCAATCTCCCAAGTGCTAGGATAACAAATATGCACCACCACTCCTGGCACAAATTTTTTTTTAGGTATTTAGATTTAAATTTGTAAAAAAAAATTTAAAAATGGAAATTGCATTTCATTCTGCTTTTAAAAGCCAAAAGCTGGGTGTGGTGGCACATTGCCTGTAATCCTGGCACTCGGGAGCTTGAAACAGGAAGATCCCTGCAAGTTTCAGGCCATTTTGGGCTATGTAGTGAGTTCAGTGCAAGACCCTGTCTCAAAAAAGATTTGTATATAGATACATACATACATACATAATCTGTCAGAGGTCACTTCAGTTAACACTTGATGAGTGCCCTTCTACAAACACCACATACATTTGAAATTTTTCATATCTAATATCAATAATGCATACTGTATAAGACCTCATTTGTCCAAGCAGTAGTAGTTAAAAGAATTCATGTTCATGTTCATTGTCTCAGTTTTGTACTCTAAGTTGGTCCTTACTGCTTTCTACCCCACCAGCTAGTAGCATATTGGTTACTTGCTGGTGTACTCAGTCTGTCTTCCTCCCATTGGATTTATAGATTTCATGAGGACTGAGACTTAACTTTTTTCTTTTTTTTCCTTACTACTAGCTGCTTTAGAGTAAGTACTGAATGGATATTTGATGAGTGCATGAATTCCAACTACCTTTGAAAAGCAAATGTAGAAATTCTGAGAAATCGATCTGGTGTTTCACCCTGGCCTAAGTTATTAAATAAAAAGACAAAATAGGCCAGGCTTGGTGGTGCACGCCTGTAATCCCAGTGCTAGGGAGACTGAGGTTGGAGCATCACTGTGAGTTCGAGGTTAGCCTGAGCAACAAAATGAGTTCAAGGCCAGCCTGAATTGCATAGTAAACCCTGTTCAAAAAAGACTAACCCCCCAAAAAATAAAGACCAAAAGTAGGTTGAGAGGTAGTAATGGGGACTACTGAGTAATTGCTTTGTCTCAAGATCACCCATCTGATCAGGCCAGCTTGACAGAGCTGCTCTTTAGAATCCTGGAGGGAAATCTAGCTTTTCAGAGTTTATGCCAGCACAAGGGTGAATGGAAACACTTTTTACCAAGTAAAAGCAGTGCAACTCCATGCAGCAGTGCCTACCTGAACTTCCAGTTCCTTGAGAGGCTGAGACAGGATTTCAAGTCAGAGGCCAACCTGGACAGCTTGGTGAGAACTTGTCTCAAAATGAAAAATCAGGAAGGGATGGTGATGTAGTTTGATGGTAGAGCATTCTTGAGTTTGTTCCACAGTATTGCATGCATGCACTCATGCTAAATAAATAAAATTGTGCTAATTCTATCATCTTCTGGTTTAGAAATCATGAAAATTAAGTTTCTTTCTTTTTTTTTTTTTTTTTGGTGTAACTCTTTATGTTCAGCTCACAAAGAAGCAAGTTCTTTATTAGTAGGTCAGACATTGAAAGCGATTTACACAGCACAAATAAAAGCAACATTAACAAAAACTAAACAGAACACTGAATTGATGAGTCTGCTGCTAGAAGAACATTCAATGGGGGCTGGGGATTTAGCTCAGCGGCATAAGCGCCTGCCTTGCAAGCAGGCAGTTGTGAGTTTGATCCCTGGTACCGATAAAAAGGAAAAAGACAGAAAAAAAAAAAAAAAAACAACATTCAACGGAAATTTATAACAAGAGCAATGAAGATGTGTATACTTTGTATATGTAGTGTTTCTGCTTTTGAAAATGTATCTTGATAGTTTAATTCAACACAGACATAAATACACACATTTTTAAATTGTTTATTTGTAGTCTGTTTAAATAGAAAAACAGACACAGAAGAAAACTAGCTTTGTTAAGTGAAATTATGAAAACTATATAGCCTAAGAAAGTAGCTGCTGTATCAAACCAAAAAGCAGTATGCAAGTTGGTTTGTAGGCTCTGAGAGGCTCTGAAAATCAGAGCTTCCATCATAGGATTGCTGTGAGAATTAAGTGAGATGACAGATGTGAGTGCACTTTGTAAATCAAAGTGTAAATGAAATTATCTTGAGGAATATTGTAACAATTTTTATGTTAAAAAAATGTAGTAGTTGGGTGTAGTGGCACATGCCTATACTCCCAGTACTTAGAAGGCTGAGATAGGAGGAACCTTGTGAGTTCACAGCCGGCCTGCACTATAGAGTGAGTTCAAAGCTAGCCTGAACTACGTTGAAAGACCCTGTCTCAAAATGATGATGATGATGATGATGATGGTGATGATAATAATAATAATAATACCACACTATCCTTTCAATGAAAAAGATAACCAGTTATTCCACCTTGCCTTTCAGTAAGTGATGAATTATCGAAGGACTGCTTGAGCATCCTGTATAACACCTGTGTCTGTGTAAGTACACCTGCCACTGGGGTACCTACCACATCTTCAGTGCTGAAAAAGAGAACATTCAAGTAGGGGTTGTAGACGTGAAAACTCTTTAGACGTTGGAGGGAACAGAACTGATGTGTGCTTGAGAGCAGGACCAACACGTAGAAATAATGAGAAGGCAGAGATAGTTGTGGTGGCACACACCTATAATCCCAGCACTCAGGAGGCTGAGGCAGGAGAATCATTGTGAATTTCATGCCAGCCTTAGCTACTTAGGGAGTTCAAGGTCACGTAGACAACATAGCAAGACTGTCTCCCAGAAAAAAAAAGAAAGAAAGAAATAGGCAAGGTCTTGAGGTAATTGTTAAGATCCGGGGCTGCATCAGCAGGTCTCCTGAACGCTTTTAGCCCTGGATGTGTACGAACAGAGACAGAGCAATTACTCGTCAAAGGGCAACAGGCATTGGCAGAGTGTCTTTGTCCTTTAAGATTCCCCTTAACTCCTTTATGTCTGTTCTTTCATTTTCCTTGTTAAAAAACGAAACAAGAACCAAAAACTTCCCCTTATATTGAGTGGGACACTCCTATACTAATCTCTGAGCCTGGAAGAATGGCAAATAAAGGAAGCAGTTTGGTAGAAAGAAAAGAGCAGAGCACTCTTGGAGGATGAAGCAGGAGGATCACAAGTTTGAGCCTAGCCTGAGCAACTAGGCAAGACTGTGTCCAAAAAAAGGGGTGGGGGGAGGTGATGAGGGTATAGCTCAATGTGAAGGCCCTGAGTTCAGTCCCTGCTACCACCAAGAAAAAAAGGGGAGAGCATTTGGTATTAGAAATGGATTGATTCTGTGTTTAGCAATTTAACCTGACACCTCTCTGAGCCTTAGTTTCTTATCCATAGAGTATAATCAGTAATACTAACATCACGGATTTTTGTGAGAGCTAAACAAGATAACAGATATGAATGTAGTTTGTAAAACACTATGTAAATGTTGGTTTTTATTAGATACAGTGCCTGTTAGGAACTTGTGGTGCGATAAACCTTGTAAACGGTCATAATTTACAGCAGAATAGGATAAGTGTTATTGTAGAAGTGAAACCCATAGACTCTGGCAATGTAAAAGACACATTTGACTCCATTTCTTGGTTTCATTCAAAAAGATAATTCCAGCATTTTGTGAGAGTATATGAAATTTACCAAGATGACAAGTTTAGAAGTAGAGTGGGGCCATAAATACAGCTAGGAGTTGGACTGATAGAAAAATGTTGACCATTGAAAACAGTATGGACCGTAAATCATCTGTACTATGTATAGACAGGACACAGTTTGAGGTTTAACCTTCTTAGTAGCCAATATAAATAGAGAAGTGTGTTTGATAACTTACACAAATGAGTATCTATAATTGTACAGTATCTATAATGGTTCAGTAAATCTAATGCAGGGTACTTTAGTTATTTTGAATTTCCGGTAGCCATTTATTTTTTTGGTACCAAGAATTAAACTCAGGATTTGTGCTTGCCAGGCAGATGCTGTGCAATTGAGCTATATCCCTGGCCCTGTAGCCACATTTTTAAAAGAAAAAAAGGAGGAAATAGGTGAAGTTAATTTTAATAGTGTATTTTAACAAAGTGTATCAAGATACTATTTTTTCAATATAGATACAAATGAGATATTTTCTCTTCTTTCTTTCCTCCTTTCTTTTTTGTTTTTTTGTACTAAGTTTTCAAACTTTCAAAACTTGTATAAAATGTTATACCTGGATCTCATCTCGCTCAGCCTGGAGGAGGCCACGTTTCAAGTGTGTAGTGGGGTGTGTAGTTAATGTCACAGATAGACACAGACAGACCTATAAAATAAAACACAAATTTCTCAGGAAATGTACAGCTATTCTTGCAACTAAGCCCAGTAAGAAACTGCCCTAAACCAGGCATGGTGGCACACTTTTATAATCCCAGCAGTCGGGAGGCTGAGGCAAAAGGATCATTGCAAGTTTGAGACCAGCCTGGGCTACAAAGTGAGCTCAAGGCCAGCCTGAACTGCATAGTGAGACTCTGTCTCTAAAAGACAAAAAGAAAAAGAAAAGAAGAAATTACCCTTAAAGATAGTGATGTAATGGCACTGTCACTGCCAGCTTCCCATATAATTGTTAGTTTTATGAGGCTGTTTTAAAATAATGACACTTAATGTTAACTAGCTGACATTCTAGTAAAACATAGCTCATGTTTTTTTAAGGGAGATTGTAAAGAATGGAGGGTGATATGGTTCAGCTCTGCTGATCTGGCTTCCTTTTATATTAGAGAACCTAGAGCTCTTAAGCGTTGTGACAGCAGTGTCTCCAGGGATCAGGTACAAAACGAGCTATCTGAAATTGCCTGCATTGGCCTGGGGACTTGTTTAAATTGTGACTAACCAGAAGCAAGTACATCCTGCCTAAACATGTTTAAATTTAAGAAAATTTTAAAGTACTCCTGGCCAGCTACAACTTGGCTTACTGGATACCAGTTTCTAGTTTCTCATTTAGAGGTCTAGAACCTGTGATAAGTATCTTGAAAAAGCTCTCCCCAGAGAAAATGCATTGTATATTGTTTGAGAGAATTAAGGCCTTGAGATATAGAGGAAAGTAACAATTGTGTATGACTTTTTGGGGTAAATCCTAATTTGGGAAGGCTTTCCAGAAGAAGCCAGTCTCTAGAAGGGGTAAGATCTTGTTAAGTTGAAGAGAGGAGAGAGGTGGGTGGTCAAGGCCTAGTCAGGGCAACCGATTTGTGTGTTTCTTTTTTTTTTTTTTTTTCATTCCTCTAAAATGTCAAGATTTGTGTGTTTCTGACAGCCTAAACAGTTTTTCTTTTCCTTATGATTGAGATTGAGCCCAGGGCCTCATGCATCTTGGCAAGTGATGTTACTACTGAGCCATACTTCTCCTCCCTGGAAGCATACCTTGTTTTTAAGCTTTAAGAACGTGGTATATCTCTGTCTCTGCCTGTCTGTGTCTGTTCTGTCTCCCTCCCTCCCTCCTTCCTCTTCCTCCTTCTCATTCTCCCTCTCCCCGTCCTCCTCCTCCTCCTCCTTCTTCCTCTCCCCCGCCCCCCCATTAAGCTGGGATCGATCTGGCCTGAAGTAAGCTAGAATCACTCCTGTTTTGCATCTTACAGCCACTGTAGGTGCTATATGTGCTTGGAGGAAAAAAGCCTTTTTTTTTTTTTTTTTTTTTTTTACTGTACCAGTGCCACAACTAAATAACAGAAATGAAACATTAATACAGAATTAAACTGAGACTGCTTTCTTTATTTATTGCCCTTAGATTTACTCAGCACACTTTTATACATGCTTTCAGTGTGAAATTTCAAGTTGCTTTATATGTTCATCTCACTGATAACTAACTGAAGTGCTTGGGGTTCCCGTACACCAGTGATGACAAACATTTTAGAGCTTTCAGTGATACAGACAGCCTACTGAGGTACACGTGCCATAGGTTCACCACCCCTGGCATGTTCACCAGTACATCTCTCTCTGTCCCATTAAGCTGGGATGATGTTCCTTTTTTATTTTTTGGCACAGGGTGCTAGAACTCAAACCCAGGGCTTCATATATGTGAAGCATACCAGTAAGCTACATCCCTGTCTGATGTATTCTTTGAAGAGAAGTCATGTTTGTTGCAGTCTGCCTTTCAGAAGTTTTGTTGTTGTTGTTTTTCCCAGCTTTGAGGCTAAAAAGAATGAAGAAGGAAAGATCAAAGCCACTAATATCTTGTTGCTGTATGGGGTAAGGGAGAGAGAGAGTGTGTATATGTGTGTGGTTAAGCAAGTAATATCACCATTTTAAATTCAGATTCTTGAATTCAGACTCTACTTTTGGGGACTTTCATGAGCTAGATGGTCCTTTATTTCCCAGAAACTTCTTGTTTTTTATTCTAGTCTTTTTTCTTTCTTTCTTTCTTTCTTTTTTTTGTACCAGAAATCGAACTCAGGACTCTGTGCTTGCCAGGCAGGTGCTGCTGAGCTATATCCTTAGCCCCTTTTACGCTAGCCTTTAAGCAAACATTTCATAAATACCTGCCTTGTCCAGTTCTGCTGTTGGATACCAGCGGCACAAAGAGGAATAGAGAAGAATCGCATCTTCAGAGTGTTCACAGTTCATGGACAAGGATGCAGGTGTAGTGAATGAACTGGACAAGTACAGACCAAGTGCTTTGACATACGGAGAAGCAGCAGGTGTAGAGTAGGTCAGGGAAGATTGCATGTGTGAGGTGGCACTTGGAAGAATTGGCAAGCTTGCCCATTCCTGTATTTGTTGCTGATTCATAACTAATAAAGAGATTTCTTCGACTGAAAAGATGACAAATACAGATAAGATGCAAAGTATATAAATCATGTGTGATTCCTTAACCAGGTTAAGTGCCAGTAATTTGCTTTACAGATTACTTAAGAATTTTCAAGTATGTTGATTTGTGTAACAAGCACCGTTTCATGGCCAGCCTTTTTATTCTATTAGAAGTATAAAGATTAGCTACATCGGGGCTGGGGATTTAGCTCAGCGGTATAAGCACCTGCCTTGCTAGCAGGCAGTCGTGAGTTCGATCCCTGGTACCAATAAAAATGAAAAAGACAAAAGATTAGCTACATCATTTTTAAAATGTATATTCCATAATGTAGGTGTAGTGTCCTCAGTTTATCAGTTCCATACCAGCAGACATTTCTATTGTTCCTGTATTGTAAGTGGAGCTGAGAGATACGGAGATGGGAGAGTCATTCCCACAGGGAAGCACAAAATGGTAGAAGTAGGAAAAGCCCCTGTGTGGGTGGGTCTTAACAGCAAGTCATTCAGCCTGACCCAGCGCAAGTCTCAGGGAGCTTGTCCCTGACCAGACACCTTCTGTTCTTTTTGAGGCACCTTTGCCTAGTTAGAAGAGTGACACTTGAGTAGCAAAGGAAACTTGAAGTCTTTTGATTGCTCTAAGAAGATCATTTTGTCTGTAGGATAGTGGGCAGGGACTTATTATATGGGCAGTGTTTACATGCATTTGTTAGCTGAATCCTATCAAAGACTTTTTGGTACTGGGAATCAAACTTAGGACCTTTTGGCTAGGGATTTAGCTCAGTGGTATAAGCGCCTGCCTGGCAAGTGCAAGGCTGAGTTCGATCCCTGGTACCAAAACAAAAAACAAAAAAAAACTTAGGACCTTGGGATGCCAGGCAGGCGCTTATGCCTCTGAGCTACATCCCTGCCCCTGTCAAAAGACTTTTAAAATAATCCTTTTACAGATAAAGAAATAGAGGACCAAAGGTGAGAAGTGATTTGCTTAGGTTTGCTGGAATTAGACTTTGAATCTGACCCTAAAATCCATGCTTCTGAATGCCATTGGGCTTCCACTTTGAGAATGGCCTCCAGAGTGTTCTGCACACTCTTAGGAAACACTGCCCTGCTGGGTCCAGCTTTCACCTAAGTTGGGCCCTAAGTACAGTCACCCACACTGGTCAGTGTTTCTGTCACAAAGACCCTGGTTTGTTCTTACATGAAGACATTTGGGGCTTAGACTTTACAGGCCAACTGAGGTCACTGCTCGCTTTCGCATGTGAACAGACTTGCCGTTGCACGGTCAGGGTGCCAGAAGGCCTTTTCTCCTGCTGCTGGGGAGTTTGACACATTCCCCGCAGTAACACATGACATTCCAGATTTGTTGGCTCATGCTGGTTTTCCAAGATTGGAATGCTTTCCTGATTCCTGGAAGGGATGCCTTACACTTCATATTTTGTTTTGTGATCACAACCTATTCTGCCTTTTCTCCCCTCTCATTGTAACAGACGGAAGGAGTTACAAAGCGTTTGGCAGAAAAAAATGATTTTGTGATCTTCCTGTTTACATTGATGACGAGTAAGAAGACATTCTTACAAACAGCGACCCTCATTGAAGATATTTTGGGTGTTAAAAAGGTGAGCTGTGTCTTCAGACTATTGGATTCCCAAACCTGAGAAATGTGAAGATTCCTCTTTTTTTTTTTTTTTATCTTTTTATCGGTACCGGGGATCGAACTCATGACCACCTGTTTGCAAGGCAGGTGCTTATGCCGCTGAGTTAAATCGCCAGCCCCGAAGATTTCTTTTAAATGAAATCCTTCTATATACCTAGTGTTGAATTACTTCTTGTGTTACTAGATACACTGAAGTATAAAACTAGGTTATACTTCTTTTATTAATCCATCTTTTATGACTGTGAAACCTAGATAAGTATATGAGTTGGGTTCAAACTACTTAAGAAGCTTGAAACTTCAAATTGACTTGGTGAATTTAATGTGATGGCTGATATTCTTTGGTTGAGATAAAACTGCTCCCCATGAGTTATGATATATAGCTGGGTGTGGGAGTACATTCCGTAATCCCACCACTTGGGAAGCTGAAGCAAGAGCATTGCCACAAATTTGAAATCAGGATGTACTGTTGCACAATGAGTTCAAGGCCAGTCTAAACTAGCAAAACCCTGTCTCAAAAACAATGCAAACAAAAGACTCACTGACATTACTATGGTAAAGTTCATTTGGTGTACCTGTACTGTTGCGTGCCATGTAGCAACTTTGCTCTCAGACCACTCTGCTGTAGTTGAACTGCTGTGAAATCTTTATTCATTCGAGTCAGTTCCTGTTGGTTGTAACGTTTGACCTGCTTAAGTTCAACTCTGTTTTTTCTTGGTAGTCTTTAATAATTAAAGTTGACTAATTGGCATCTACACAAGAAACAGAAATATGAGCAGGGAATTCCTACCACGTGGTCCTAAAGTGAACATTCAAATGATCTTTAGCTTTTTAAAAAAAATCATGATCAAAATGAAAACACTGAATGAAAATTTTTTCACAGACTACAAAAAATGCGTCCATGAACCTGTTAGTCACTATGTCAGAAGGGGTTGGGACATTGTGTGTGTGTGTGTGTGTGTATGTGTGTGTGTGTGTGTGTGTGTTTGATTTTATGGAGAGAGGATCTCTCTATATAGTTCAGGCTAGCCTTGAACTCACTATGTAGCCTGAGTGGACCTCAAATTCTTGGAGGTTCTTCTGCCTCAGCCTCTCAAGTGCTGGGATTACAGACGTGAACCTCCACACTCAGCTACTATTAGATTCTGGATAATTCTTGTTAGGACCCAGAGCTTACTTCTACAGGCTTACTGCAAGCCTCCCTCTTGGTGGCTGTTAGCAGAGTTCTTCCTTTCACTCTTAAGCAGCCTTGAGGTTGCCGGTGCCGGGAAGAGGGTGCCTGTGCGCACTGTGATAAGGCGAACTCCTTCCTACCTTTCCGCCTTGCTTCCCCAGGCTTGGGGAAGCTTTGCTTGTCATTGCCTGGGCAGAAGCAGCACAAATGGCCCTTTGTGGGAACTAATTAGAGATGTGTATAGGCCCCAGATGGGCCCTTTGTGTCCTTTGATAAAAAGACTTTGTTAGTTTTCCAATAATTGTATGCTCCGGCTCGTGTACAAGGGCACCTCCGTACCGGAAACGCAGGGCTCCCCGGCAGTCTCCGTGTAGGAGGCAGTGGTTGTTCCTTTCTGACTTTGCCACCTGGCTCTCCAAAGTAGAAACCCAAACTACAGAGAGATATTTCCAATCATAGATTGGTAGTCAGGATTTGTAAAGAATACTTACAAGTCTGTGTGAGAGACAAATAGCCTAGTTCAAAATGAGCAATAATATGAATAAGCATTTCAGGAAAGAGAAGTGGGCCATAACCATAAGAAGAGGCTTCGCTTCATTGATAAGCAGGAGATGCAGATCTCCTATCGTGGTAAGCGAGAGAGCAGGCAAATGTCTGGCAGCACATGGATCAGTAGAAACATGGACATACCACAGATTTGTTTATGTCAGCGGAAGGTGTTTATACTTTGTGTGATGTTATGCTTGAAGGTGCCCATACCCTGTGCCCAGCACCTAGAGAAGCTGTGCGCGGAGGGCTGAAGTGTCAGTGTGTGTTTCATTTTGAGTCACCTGTGACCTGTGTCTGAGCACATGGGCTCTAAAATAGTGATTCTGAGAAATGAAGACACCAGATTGAACCCGGGAGAGCTGTGACATTAATGGATATCCCAGCTAAATAGAAAAGATCAAAGTATATCCCATAAGGGTTTTAAGATATTTTTCTTCCATATTTTATGCATATATTTATATTATACCTTGTATATATATATTATATCTTGTACATACATGCTACATTCTGACATATATTTTTATTGAGTTGTGATGGAAAATATAATTCTTATTCTTGGTCATTGTCAGAACAATTCATAATCCACGTCACAAGAAATCTGCAGATATGCGCTCTGTGAACACATGTGCATCAAATAATGTACAAGAACATTTATGGCATTGTTTCAGAACAGAAGAACCAAAACAGGCCCTTAATCCATGTCTCTTCACACGATAGGATATTGTACAGTATATAAGGTATTAGAAATGAGCAAACTATTGCTTTGTAATGGCAAAGTAATGATAAATAATAAAAAAGAACAATTAAAGTTGTGGAGTAAAGAAATGAAAAAAAAATTGAACTGGAACTGTTAGGGTCTGTGTAGATAAATGTCAGTGTTGAGGGAGTTAAAAGTAAGGTGTGAGGCCAGGCCTGCTGGTGCACACTTGTAATCCCTGCACTGGGGAGGCTGAGGCAGGAAGGTCAAAAGTTCAAGGCCAGTCTGGGTTACACAGCAAATAGCCTCGCTTAAAAAGGGAGGCAGGTGCTGGGGATATAGCTCAGTGGCACACTGCCTTCCTGGCAAGTGCCAGGTCTTGAGTTCAGTTCCCAGTACGAAAAAAATAAAAAAGGAAGACGGTATCATATTCACATTCCTGGTACAGAGCAGTGTCATATAGTAAATGGATGTATTTAGAAGAATTAAAACATGCCCTGGGAATAATAAATACAAAGTTAAAAACAGTGATGACACTGGGTGTGGTGGTGCATGCCTGTAATCTCAGCACTCAGGAGGCTGAAGATGGAGGATCACTGAGTTCGAGACCAGCCTGGGCTACAAAGTGAGCTCAAGGCCAGCCTGGATTGCATAGTGAGACCCTGTCTCAAAAGGGCAAAACAAAATAAAACCCCTGTGCTAGCTTTTGAGGAGAGAAAAGGAAATGCAGCTGGATGGGGACGCACAGAAACCTTCAGTTTACATTTGAAGTATTTTATTTCTTTCTTTTTTTTTTTTTTTTTTTTTTGTCTCTTTCTTTTTTATCGGTACTGGGGATCAAACTCACAACTGCCTGCTTGCAAGGCAGGCGCTTATGCCGCTGAGCTAAATCCCCAGCCCCGAGTATTTTATTTCTTAAGAAAAAACAAATCTATGGCAAGAATGATAATTTGTGATTTATAAAATTTGAGTGGTTGTTTGTTTTTTAATAGGCAATATGTGTCACAAGAGAAAAGTTGAGAATGGGACCAGTGGCATCCAAGGATAAATTTAAAGAACCTTCTTTGAAGTAGTTAGTCCCATTTCCCAGATAGCAAGACGACAGATTCTATAACTTTAGACCTAAGGTTGCACAACTGCACACTGCAGAGCTGGGCTTTGACCCTCCTTGCCGACCCCATTTGTGGGGAAACAGGTCAGGAGGGCACATATGATCTCCGGAGCAGACTGAGCATGGGAATTATTTTATTTATCTTCTGTAGGAAATGATCCGACTAGATGAAGTTCCCAATCTGAGTTCCTTAGTATCCAATTTTGACCAGCAACAACTTGCTAATTTCTGCCGGATTCTAGCTGTCACCATTTCAGAGATGGACACAGGGAATGATGACAAGCACACGCTTCTTGCCAAAAATGCTCAGCAGAAGAAGAGCTTGAGCTTGGGGCCATCTGCAGCTGAGATCAACCAAGGTAAAGTCTCCAGGTTCGCAGAATTTTGAGACAGTTAGCTCTGAGGCTGGTCCTACACCATTTAGTTCTTTTAATGTCTCTAGAGATTGATGTGTGAGGACTCCTAAGGTCCATTTGCGGAATATATAAAATTTGTGTATCTTTTTAATATTCAATCCCATTGCTTTCATCAAATATTTGAATGAGTTCAGAATCTCAAAAACACCTCCCTATCAGAATTACAAATGCATATACTTTTAACCTACTAAGCCTCACATGGGCCTTTATCCTAAAGATATGAAATAAATCAAGGTTGTTCATAGCAGCAATGTTGGTAGTAACATAAGACTAGAGACAACCCGGTGTTCACTAACAGAATATTTATATAATGGAAGATTGTATACTTTTTAAAAGATGAAGATCTTTAGGTACTGGTGTAGATCTTTATGTGCTTTTTGTCATGTATTAATGATGAAAAGGCAAAGCCAGAAGAGTGTGTATAACATGCCACTTGTACTAAGGCATGCCATTTGTTACTGACAGTACTCATAAACCAAAGAGTGTGTAAGAAGTGTGAAGTGATTAGTTGCTGGAAAGAGGTCTGTACCAGTCAGTGAGGCTTCTTAGTGTATGCTTTTATATGATGCTTGATTTAGAACCATGTGAGTATATTAGTTAAGACACACTCACACAACAACACACACACACACACACACACACACACACACACACACACACACTATCCTAACCAGCCTACCCCCAGTGTTTCTTTTCAGTATTGAAAGAACTCTGTCACTGATAAAGTATCCTGACCTGTACAGGTTTTGGGGAAACTAGGTATTACAGTTGGCTGTAAGATTTTGTTTTATTAATTTATTTTTTGAGACAGATCTCACTATGTAGTCCAGGCTGGCCTTGAACTCACTGTGTAGCCCAGGCTGACCTCACACTTGTGGCTATCCTTTTGCCTCAGCCTCCCGAGTGCTGGGATTACAGGTGCCTGCCTGCAAAAGCTCATTCTTGAATATTAACAGCTAGAAATTCAGAAGTCAAATTATTGACACAGACACATATCACTTTGTTCCTTGGGGTCAACAACAAAAAATAAAGCAATAAAAAATGCAGTAGAAAACCATGACTGTTTCAAAGCAGCCTTCACACTGCTCTGAGGAGCAGTTGGCCGGCTGTCGAGCCAACACTGGCTCGCAGTCACGAGTGCCCTTCCCTCATGGTCCTGAATGCTCCATCCTGAACTCTGCTGACCCTCACCGTGCTTGGTAGGTATTAAAGAGTGTGATTCTACATGCCTTGTGTAAGAGCATAACTGTGTGGGCTCTGTGCACCCCAGACTCGTGTTCTCCCTCCAGCCTTACTTTTTTCTTGTCTGTAGAGGCAAGGCCTTCCTTGGACTGATTTTCCTCCTCTTCTTTTTTTCTTACAACTTGTGGAAAATTCTCAATGTAGTAAGTCATAAAAATGCACATTTTTAAAAAGCAGGTGAATTTTATTAAAACTATGTATTAAAGCCAATTTAAGCATATAGATTGATACACATTTTAAATTTATTCCATAAAGCTAACTTAAAATACATATACATTGTTCTTGCTTTATGGCAGTCACTGAGCTAACTACCTCGCAGTGATTTTGTCTAATTCCGTAAGCAGCGCCATGGAATAGAGATTAATGTTCCCATTGTCTATGTTAGGAACCTGGGAGCAGAAAGGCTAGATGTAATCCCTGTATGCCGAAACACTGAGTTACTCTCATCTTTTAGTTTTCCAATTAAGATGTATGCTCACACATTTATTCTGTTAATTCAGATTACTTCAGCATGCCTATTTTTTTTTAAAGATTAAAAGAGGACATAACAAAGCAGGTCAGAACAGAACAATTTAAGCAACATAGTGTTTCACCACAAGACAATCTGACATAACTGTAGCTACCATAGTGTCTCTTTCTTTGAAATATTTGAGTATAACTTCATATACTATAGTATCAAAAATAACAAGACAGTGTAAAACCATTCAAGAGAATGAAAGTATCACAGGGTATTCAGAACCAACTAACAGAAAATGAACAATGGTTACTATATTATCTCCTTGTCCATAAAAATAGTGTTTATACTATCACATATAATAAAATCCAATAAGATACAACATGATAAAACCAATGGAGACAGAAGAACAAAAGCTTGATATTATTAAATCATCACTAGTTATTATTATGTCTTGTTTTCTTCAGAATAGCTGTTCATACCATCACAGACAATAAAATCAAACAACCCAGAATAAAACCATTCCAACTAATGAATGAGAACATTATAAGGCTTCAAAGCAATATAGGGGAATCATGATTACCACATACTTTTATGTATTCTTACCATTTCTTACACTAGGGAAACTATTCGGTATTTATACATGTGAGTTTGATTTATTTCGCTTATGGGTATGGTCTCAAGCTTCATTCATTTATTTATAAATATCTCAATGATTTTTTTTTTTTTTTTTTTTTTTTGGTACCGTGAATTGAACTCATGACCTCGCGCTTGCCAGGCAGGCACTTATGCCACTGAGCTAAATCCACGGCCCAGCAGCATGTCTATTTGTAAACTGATTTATATAAAACCAATATTATATTATGCATCATTCTTGGTGAATGAGATATTCTAGTCAGTTGAGTTTTTGACTGAGTCTTTAACTCCAAACAGTTTCTTTGATGTGGGGAATTAAAAAGTCTTATAAAATATCTAGGTTCACTTTAATACATGTGTGGCTGACCTATTAGATAATCTAAGTACAGTGTCTGCTGATAGCTTGTGCGTATGTTTTATTTTTTGAGAGTCTTGCTATGCAGTTCAGGCTGTTCTTGAACTCGTTATAGAGCCCAGGCTTGCCTCAAGCTCATGGAGATCTTCCTGCATCAGCCTCTCAAGCGCTGGGATTACAGGCACACATCACCACTCCCAGCCGCTGATAGCTTTTGTGATAAAGCTTAAGTGTTACAGGTGAACACATGTGGTTGTACAATGTATGACCCTTCCCAACTCTTTGACCATAATTCCTAGTCCTTCCACAAGCCACGTGTTTTTCTCCCGTTCAGGTGGACAAGCTGGGGAACGTAATTAAATTACAGTGGTTGAAAAAGCTGTTACTAGATGCTGTCATTCTTTAACTCTTGTATTGAATTCTGAAGATATACAGATTAGTGTGGGTTGCCGAAATGAGATACCACAGACTGAAGGGCTTAAGAGAAGCTTATTTCAGTGCTAGAAGCTGTGAGTCCAAGATCAAGGCACTGTCGGGTTGGTTTCTGATGTGAGGCAGCTGGTGGACGGACCTCTTCTGTCCTAGTCCTCACGTGGCCTTTCCTCTGTGCAGAGAGACAGATCTGTGGTGTCTCCTTCTCATAAGGACACTAGTAGTATTGGTTTAGGAATCTTTACATATGATCTCATTTAACTAGATCAGCTCCCCAGAGGCCCTGCATGTGACTACAGCTGTGCCAGAGGTAGGACTTAAAACATATGAGTTAGTCCATAGTGGCACAGAAAGGTGAGTTATGTATGATGGCAAAACGGTTTTAATAAACTGTAGCTGTGAGTTAGGTTTCTTGCATAGAAAAGTTTTATGTTATCTTCCTCGAGCTTGGATGATAAATATCAAGCCTTTGTTAAGATTCTCCAAACTACTAGTTGTTCCTTCTGTTGAGTCAGATGGAAATAAATGATTCCATCTGCAAAATAAGTATTGTTTTTAGTTAGAGATAGAGATGGAGCCATAAGCCTGCAAATTAAAGGTGACACTTAGCTGAGGGACTGACTTATGCAGTGCTCTGAAGTGGCGAGCAGAGCTGCACCTGCCAGTGGAAACGAATGAGAGAAATCTGTCAGTCAGCTTAATAGTAAGCCACTGCCAGTCAGTTTAGTACTAACCAACAAGTGATAGCTATTTGTAAAGCTGAGAATTACAAGGCTTGTGTGGTGCCTCGGTGCTGGCGCACTGCTGCATGAAATTCAGCCAGTGATTGTCTGGGAAGAGGGCCTGTAGCTTTCCTCAGCCTTTCAACAGACCAGTGACTCACAAAGTCTCAGGATTCTCTGGGCTCAGAAGCCAGAGTCTCGTACCACGAGTGCTAAGCAGATCGCAACTGGAGAAGCCCTGGCCTGGTGCAGACTGGGGCATTTGGCATCTCCTGACTCGCCCTGGGAAGTCGAGATAAAGAAATTGGGGCTCTGTGTGCTGGAGAAAAAGAGATCTAATAATAAAAGGCCAGCCTGGTAAAGGTATTCATGTACAATTCAGACATATTTTTAGAAAAAGTAAAAACAAAATCCAAACACTACAAAAGGAATAGCAGGTGAATGGTAGAAAGTCTGTTCCTTTCCCTGTGGGACCTGTTACTGTCTTCTTCTGGAGATACTCTCATGTCCGGTAAAAGGGTGTAGGAGGGGGCAAAGGCAAAGAGATTCATCACCTTCTCTTTGTTCAAAGAGGCTCTGTCCTGCCTCGACTGAAGTTTATCTTGCAAAGTGTTCTATCATGTACAGAATGATGTGATTCCTTCTTAACAGATGTACAGTATTCTGTTATATGAACGTGCTATTATTTATGTAGCCAGAATTCTATTAGAAATGTCTATTGGTAGAAATTTGGTTTATTTCAAGTCTTTGTTCCAATAGATAATAACTTAAGGAATACAGTATGATGTGCTAGGTATTTTTAAATGTTAATAAATACTTAACCCTCCAAAGAAATTACTAGATCGTCTTCCCATTTTGTTGTCTCTGCCTCTTTCCTAGTACCAACTATTTTCATATTTCTTGATCTTTACCAAACTTATAAGAAAAAAGTTATCTCAGTGTAAATTTTTTGAACTAATGGTCCCATAATGTAAAATTAATCACTTTAAAGTAAATGGTTTTGTTCAGCGGCATTTAGTACATTTTCCTGTTGCACAGCTGCCCCCGCTGTCTAGTCCCATGCACATTCGTGTCGCTAAGCAGCAGCTCAAACATATCAAGC